TGTCGTGGAGAACCATCAACCCCAACCCAGAGTTACAACCCACTTTAGCACTTGTGGAGAACTTGCAAAACACTGAGCTGCCGACAGGTTGGTACTAAAACCGCATATGCAATATTTTGTCGTTTTGTGATACCTTTGAATGTTTTTAGCAGCCTCATAAAATTACATAAATAATGTGTGTTACATAAATAATTTTTGGTTTTGAGTCTGAAATATCTTTGAATCACAGTCAATTCCTTATGAAGAGCATTCCTCTTTGTAAGGAAGCAAAATGTTTTTGCATTTTAACGTTATGGGTTATGACTTCCACAGTACTGGCTTTTAATATTATTGGCAAAAGAACTGGGTGAATGAAAGACATCATGAACAATTGAAAACAATCAATAAGCTTGTGTGGTTTGTTTAGATTGATCACCTTTATTATCTTCTTGTCTTTGGAAACCTAAGAGATTATTGACACTGCTTAAGAGATGTATCATAATTATCTATGAACCTCTTATCAATCATTCAGTAAAATATGGTGTATTTTTTAAATAGAAATGTATATTGTATGTTGAAACAAACTCAATTAGTTCACCCAAAAATGAAAATTCTGTCATCATTTACTCACCCTCATGTTGTTCCAAACCTGATGACTGACTTTCTTCTGCATAACACAAAAGAAGATATTTTGAGGAATCATGGTAACTAAATTGACTGATTTAATTTCAGTTGTATGGACATTTCTCAAAATCAAAATTTTTTGACTTTTCACGTACTGTTTCACAAACTTCTTTAATTAATTTTTTTTTTTTTTTATATTTAAATTCATAATATTTAACAACAATATCATAAAGTAATATTACTGAGTAGTTATCACCTTTAAATGGTACAGATATTATTTTAGCTGTCAGAACTAATTTGTGTTTAAAGCAAAAGTGGAAACTACATTATAATTATCTTTAATTAGATGCTTAGATGAGATTATATGTTTAGGTGTTTGAAACTTTATTTTTATTTCTCAGTTCTTGGGAAACTTCTCATGAAATGAGATGATCACGCTGCTTTTTCTCAGTTAGAGAGAGAGAGCCCTACTGAGCTTGTGCTGAGTTATTGTCATTACTCTTATTTGTGAATTTTCAATTGCCTTTGCTCTCCCCTATGGTATCAGTGACTACAATAACATACAGATACATTACCACAGGCAACATAATGCCAGACAAAAAGTCCTTGAAATGTGTATTCCCGAAAACATTTCCCAAATAACCTACATTTTGCTTTGCTCTGTTCCAAAATGAGCTGCGAGCCCCTAAAGGTTAGTAAGATAAACACTCACCATCTGTGGTATGTCTGATAATAAGAGCTTTTTCCACATTTGTTCCACTAATGTTCTCTGAAGAAGCAATAGTTTGAACAAACTCAATTAGTTTTCGCTGGGAAAATTACAGCTAATTAGGAACTATGCGCTATGGTTTATGATGTTTATTGAGTATGACACAAAACAGCCATTGGTAGCAATGAATGAATTGTAGAGAGCCAAAATGTCAGTGTGGAACATGAAGACTAAATTTCCACATCACTTAGGAAATTGAACCACCCTAGCCCAATTTCCTGACAATGGACTAATAAATGGATTCTTGATGCTAAATTTGTCAAATCACTGAAGGTAATTTGGTGAAGCAAAGTCTAAGCAAGTTATTTTAGAAGAAGAAAACCCATGAATGCGCTTAAATTTCCCTAAAGCATGACTTTTTCTGAATTGATTTGAAATGAACTGCTGGCCCGTAGCCATTCTCCAAGTATTTTTTCTAAATACAGCATTTCACAGCGTTAAAGAGTGAGAATGAGATGTCATTCTCTCGGTTACAGGCGAGTTTCTGTTGTACAGTTGATCTTTTGAACACTGCACTGCTAGAACAATATCTAAGATTGCCACTATACAAAGCGAATCACAAAAAAATCAATAGGCCAGTTACAGGGCCAAAATAAAGGTAAATGTGTTTCTGGCATATGTTGAGAGGGATTTTGACATTTAAGCTAGACTTTATGGTGGTCCTAGGGGGCACAACACAATGGAATTAAACCTCTCCACAGAATGAAAAATGTAGTAAACAGAGAAAATGCATTTGGATCTCTTGAGGGCGCAGAAATGTGTCTGGATATGACGGCGTGAATGTTTGCTCTAAGATACCATCAGCACTAATTTCTTCAGCCACTACTGAGAAAGACAAAGTGTGTGTAAGTCAGTGCCCTTTGGGAACAGTGCAGTTAATTTTCCAAACGTGCACTTTACAGAAATCAATGAATTTACAATGCAGAAGGCAAATGCTACAGACAGCTTTAAAGGTTTGCCTGGGCATCCATCTGCGTTCCCAGTGTACTCAGTGTATAATATATTTTAGAAACAAAAGACAAAGGAGTTCCTCTTTGATATCTTCAGATCAGTCAGTGACAGTCAGGTCATGCTGGTTTGGACGTGTAACTTCACATGCAACGATTGGACAAACAGTTGATGCAACACTTTGGTAAAGCAAAGAAACTGTGGCAAAATTTGGAGTTAATTTGTGTGTCCATCATATCTGGAAGAGAAAAAAAGAACTTGAAAGAACTCATTATGTTAGTATGAATAATACTGAAAAAGTGAGAGAAAAAAAATCATAAGTTGGCACACTTTTACTTCTCACTGCAAATGTGACATATGAGAGGAATGCTGTTTTTAGTCACGTTCATATATCAAATGAACTTCAGATGTGCCTGCTTTATATGATCTGTCATCGCATGTTGATGTCAGGCAGTCTGACAAGGTTCTGTGAATTCCTGCACATGTATATGTATGGGCCGATGAGTAACGTGGAACACAGACAGGGCATAAATCAGATGACAATAAAGGAAAATGATCATTAATTTATTTGCATAACTAGCATTGAATTATTCATCATGGTTTCAATCTGCTCAATCTGTATCTCATTAACATGAATTATGAGGCCTATAAATCTCAGTTTTATGTAATGTCTGTTTTAATATCTTTGGGACACTTTTTGCATGCATGTTTTTGTTGTATGTTTCTGTGTGAATTACAGTGAGCTTATAAAATGTTTATAATTGTTAGATATGTGTATGACAGAGAAATTATTACTATAATCTTGATTTATCAAGATTATCTCATTGGGAAATTCAGTTTTATTTTTTGTAGCAGTTTAAGTATTTTAATTATAGAAATCAGTTTAGAATAGTTAGATGTAACACTTTTACGCATTACCTTTTATCATATTAAGCCATATTATAATCAGTGATTTTTGTACATTCAATCCTTGTAAGTACTTTTTTTTGCCCATTTTATAGATTATTTTGAAAGTAAAAATATACCACTTAGGTATTAGTATGTACACTCCAGGTACGAACATTTGTACCTAAAGTGTGCATATTAGTACTTAAATGATAAATTACTGCCCTAGTGACAGGTTTTGTACCTTTTTTTCAGGTAGTGTGGGGTTTCTGGGTGGTTGCTTGCTAGACATTTTCTTACTATTTGTTATATTTAGGTCTTTTCTTCAATGTAAGTCTAAGTGTGTCCTTTTTTCATGTTTTATATTCTGTCAGGTAACAATCATGATCGCATAGAAAATCGCATTAATTAAAAGGCCTCACATTTTGAGGTATCATTTGTTATGCACAGGTGTTGCAGGCGAGTTATGTGCAAAATATACAGTAGCAAAAGTCTCTAATGATGTTTGGATACTAATTAAAGTTAAGTATAAAAGAAACAGCCGATTAAATTATAACATAGTGCATAAGTGCAAAGTTAGTCTTGCATTTGTTTATTTTTCGAGTGCTTTCCCTGCTTCTAAAGTTTTAATAGATGAGCTTACCATTCATTCATTAAACAGCAGTATTTTTGAATGGCCGAAAGGAAAACGCTGATCTTTTTCACACGCTCTCTCTTGTTCTTCCCTTTACAGAGATCTATATTTATACATCCCATAATAGTGTTCATCAGCACAACTGGCAGCGATCCAGCAGAGTCAGCATTTTGCAAACATGAGCAATAACTACATCCTCAAAGTGTTTGCGGGCTTATTTTATCCAATAAGAATTTCATGTTCGAGGTTTCCTGTAGTGTGTCTTTCATAGCTCCCTCTGTCGATAATAACCACTGAATGAGCTTGCAATCACCTGTCCCTATTGACCGGTTTTGAACGATTTGAATGTTAAAGAACCAGCGAAAGCAGACTGTGCCAAGCACGTGGAGAACTTAGTAGCTAAAATGCAGATTTCAAAAAGGGATCTGCAGTTTAGTGCTAATGAGGTGAGTGTTTGCCTCCTGGCAGCAATCACGGACTGCGTGGAAGCCTTATATCAGTCCAAACAAGCATCTCAAATTAATGAATGGCTCAGTCTCAGAGGGGTAATTTTCCATCATCAACGCTGGTAAACCTGCCTGGAATACCAGGGGAGGGAGAAGGTAGACGCTTCGTAGTCACCCCGCATTCATCCTCATTAATCGGAGATCACAGCCTCTCGTTTCCCGATAAGTCTCCATTCTTTCGGTCGCAGGTCTCACTGAGATATTTGTCCTATTATGGAGTGCAGGACTTAGCAGACGCATGGGGATTTTTCTACAAGCTACTTAATCGCCACAGTGCTCTAGAGACCTTCAGCGGCAGATCAAAAGATTTCTGCATTAAAAAGATTTAAAGTCGAGCAAATATTGATAAAGGCTTCATCTGCTGTAGGTCCATTAATCGTGACAGCAATCGCAAAAGCGTGCTCTGTTTTGTAGCCTAGCATGGGTCAATCACGGGGAGGGAGAAATACCGCAGGCAGGTCCACATTATTGAGCATTTCATTGCAAAATACCCCGAGGCGAGACCTTTCGTAGGAACTGTTTGAGAAGGGCATTAACTCCAGACCAACGCTAATGCTTAGGCCAAATTGCTCAAGTCAGAGCCGGTCTTTTAAGTTTGTCCGCATCAGTACCCTAAATGATCTCAAAGAGGGTGGAAATTTCTGAAAATGTCCCATAATTGCCGACTGATACGGATGACAGAGAGCAGGATATCATGGCTTAAAATGAGGCATGTAATAAGCTGGTATAATTTTTCTCAGACAGTCACTCACTCTCGCTCTCTTTGCGAGGGGAATTTATGTGCCTTTCTTGGCGAACCATGTGCTACTGCAAGTATCTTGTGGGTTACTGTTAATTTGTGCTAAAAACCCCTCATGGTACAGGGCTGAGGTTCCTCAAGCTGACAGAAAGAGGTTTACGCAGTAGAGAGATCTTAAACCTTCTCCAAGCAAACTGTTCTCATTTACCATATACTTGCTGGAGAGAAAAACAGCTTTTTTTAGCATTATCAGCTCTTGGGATACAAAATATGATCAATGGTAACTGGCATGTTCCTGTGCTTTTTAGCTTGCATCCTTTGAAATGTTAAACACATAATGCATTTAGATTTCATTATGAGATGAGAGATTTTCTGCCATGTCTAAACATGATAGATGCACTACAGTGGTAAGGACATTTTGAGGTGAACATCAGTGGCTTCACAGAATCCACTGACTGCAGAAAACATTAGACGAACGGCCCTTTCCTACCACTAATTGGAATAGACTTCCTCTGGAGATATTCTTC